GGGGTGGCAGCCGGGGGTGGGGGTGGCCTTTTGTGTTTGGGGTTTCGTTTTAGTGCTGGCGACGGAACCCGGGGGTGAGCACTGCCACCGAACTACATTCTCTACCCTGGTCCGTGGTGGAAGTGCTTACTACTTCCCGTGGTGCTGGGGACGGGATCCCGGCTGGCACTGGCCAGCGCTGTACCACAAGCCGCAGCCCCCGCTTTCCTAAGGCCCACCTCGGGAGGCCTAGGTCTGGGCCCTTTTGCAACATGTGGCGGCCGACCTCCAAGATAGCCTCATGATCCTTGTGTCCTGGTCTTCCTGTCGGTGAGGGGTGTTCCTGCCCTGAATCAGAACTGTCTGTGGACAAGCCCAGTGGCACATACCTGTCATCCCAGCAACTTGGGAGGCTGTGCGGGAGGATGGCAAGTTTGAAGCCATCCTGGGCAACTGAGCAAGATCCTGTTTCAAAATAAAGAGGGATGGGATGTAGCTCCGTGGTAAAGCACCACTGGGTTCCATCCAGTAACCCCCTCCCCCACCAAAAAAACCTCCCCAGAAGGAGAAGCCTGCCCACACTGGGCACAGGAAGGTACTGCTGGGTTCGAGATCTTGGTGGAGGCTGTGTGGGGGTCAGGCTTGAACAGAGGTAGACGGGAGAGGCTGCAAACCAGGGAGCCCACCTGAGTGCCAGGGTTGAGGGCCATGAAGGCTCGCCCTGGACTGGCTCCTTCCAGTGTGGCAGCCTTGAGGTGGTGGATGCTTCAAGAGGTGGGCTGTGGCCGGGAGTCCTTATGTCACTGGGGGTGCTACGTGGTGGGAGGGATCAAGGAGGTTCCTCTGGATCCCAGTTAGTTTTTGTGAGGGCAGTTGTTACAGAAGGGCAACACCAGCCTGGGCAGTTAGGGAGGAGGGCTGGGCTGTAGCCGATGGTGGAGGACTTGCCTAGTGTGTGTGGAGGCCCTAGGTTCTCTCCCACAAAGAAATGTAAAAAGCCGAGTCCCTCCCCACTAAGTCACTCTCCATTCACATGCAGTCCTGCCCTGAGGTGACCTGGGGGTCCTTGCCAGGTCCCACAGGATGCTGTTTGGAAGTTCCCTCACCTCAGTCATTTTGTTACAGTAACAAAAAATGGACTGACACAGATGGCTTGCCTGGAGGCCGTGAGGAATTTGTTGATAAAATCTGTGGGTGTCTTTTCTTTTTATTTAATTAGATTTATGTATTTGTTTATGTTTGAAGTTCTGGATGGAACCCAGGGCCTTGCCCATGCTAGGAAGTGCACTACCACTGAGCCACACCCAGCCCTTTTCATTTATCAAACTCTCCCAGGTTAGATGGTAACACGCTGACCTTTCAGAAGTACCAGACCTGGGCTCTTTCTGTCCATCGTCCCATGGAACCTTCCTCATTTGGCTGCCATGTAAGCACTTATCAGTCCTTATCCACAAGTAGGAAGCAGAAGGTTCCAGAGTACCCAACGCGGGACTGGGGTGACCAAGCTGTTCCAAGCTGCATCACCATTGTTTCCATGACAACCCACCAAAATTAATGCCAGCCTGTCGTGGCTGCCTTGGGAGGTGGAACAGGGTGACTTCCCCAGCCTGAAAACGGGCAGCTTTAAACCCCGCCACTCATGAGGATCGATGATGGGAAGCAGACCATCTCCAGGTGGAATGGACGTGTCCCCGGAGCTTGTGGCAGTGCAGGAAGGCAAGAATGGGAAAGCATGTCACTGGAAGGGAAGCGGAAAAAACTTTTCCATAGGTGATGTGATCTTGGACATAGAAAACTAACAGAATCCATAAAGAAGCTACAAATAAGTGAAAATGTTAAAGTTTCAGGGATTGACTCCAGAGGTGCCTAGCCACTGAGCCACTCCCAGCCCTTTGAGACAGGGTCTCTCTAAGTTGCTGAGGAAAGTCTTGGATTTTCATCCTCCTGCCTCAGCCTCCCGACTCACTAAACTACCATGCCTGGGTAAATTAATTTAGGAAAAATAAGTGATCTTAGATTTTTTTTTTTTTTGTCCATTTGTTTGCTGTTTTAGTATTGGGAACGGAACCCAGGGGTGCTGTACCACTGGGCTGCGCCCCTTGCCCTTTTATTTTGTGACAGAGTCTCAGTAAGTTCCCAAGCTACCCTGGAACTTGCCATTCTCCTGCCTCAGCCTCCTAAGTGGCTAGGATGACAGGCGTGGCCCTGCAGAGCTAATCTCACTCTCTCCTAAAGACACTTGTGACAGCGTTGGATCCACCTGGATCATTCAAAAGAAACTCAGTTCTTCATAATCCCTGACTCAATCTCACAGACCTTCCCCCCCCCCCCATAAAGCCAAGGCACGAGTTCCAGGAATTAGGATGGGCGCCCTCTAGCCAGTGCTGCTGTGTGTGTTTGGTGCTGCAGCCTTTCCATCTCACAGGGGAGAAAATGGAAGCTGAGAGATGGAAACTCACTTCCCTAAGACCACACAGCCAGGGACTGGCAGAGCCAGAATTCAAACTTAAAACAACCTGTCTCTTGTTCCCACATTTTTTTTTAAATGTGATTAGGATTAGTTTCCTAGCATGTTCTACAACTTCATTCCAAGTGTGTTCCTCCAATTTTTAAAAAATTTTATTTCTTTTTGGTATGGGGGATTGAACCCAGGAACACTTTTAACCACGGAACCACATCCCCAGCACCGCCCCTGTTTTATTTTTTTCTATTTTTAAACAGCGTCTTGCTAAGTGGTTGAGGCTGGTTTTGAATCCGAAGTCCTCCCTCCCCAGCCTCCCAAGGTGCTGGATTACAGATGTGCACCACTGTACCTGGCCAAAAAAAACAAAAAAAAATTTTTTTTTTTAATATGGTGTCTTGTTACCTTGCCTGGCTGGTCTTCAATGCCTGGGTTCAAATGACCTCCTGCCTCAGCCTCTGGAGTAGTTCAAGAAACAGACACTTGCCCCAGGACCCCCAGCCCCCCATCCAAATCTTTCCCACTTAGTCCCCAACATATGTAGGCTGGTTAAACTAACATTTAAGTGAACAGAGGAGGCTTTTTATAGTGGGAGCTGAGCCCATGGGGTTTGGGCTCCTGGATGGGGTGTGAGCCCATGGTCTGTGATATCCTTAAAACTTTGCAAAATTGAGAGTAGGAGTGCTCATCCTGTTGAGAAGGACCCCCCAGATTCTCAGGTTGCTAGAGGACCCCTTGCAGGGCACTTGGTACCAGCTACACAGCAGAGCATAATCAGTAAATTGTGTGTGTATGTGTGTGTACGCGTGCGCGCTGGGGATTGAAACCAGGGTTTCAACCGTGCTACACCGGCACTCTACCACTGAGCTGCACCACATCCTCCTCCCAAATTCTTTGGAGAGAAATAATCATAAGCCAGGTGCAGTGTCACATGCCTATAATCCCAGCAACTCAGGAGGCGGAGGCAGGAGGATCAGGAGTTTAAAGCCAGCCTCTTAGGCCCTAAGCAACTCCTCGTTGAGACCCAGTCTCTAAATAAAATATAAAAAGGCCTGGGGATGTGGCTCAGGGGTTAAGAGCACCTGGGTCCAATCCCCAGTACCCTCCCCCAAAGAAAGATTGCCTCAAAATACTCCCTCCCCATAAAAATGCAACAGCTCACCCGAAATGGACAGATGGCTTTAGAAACAAACAGAAGCCCAGGCAACAAGAGGCCGGCAACCTGCACCATCTCCTGTCAGAAACTCAAC